TAAAATGTTTGGTAAAACTCTTAAAAAATAAACAAAATTTATTTTAAGTGATTTCAGTATGTACTTAAAATTTGACTATGAATTTTTTAATGTTAATTTTAGTAATTAACAGAAGAAAAAATATTTGCATTTCTTTTTGTTTCTGTCAAAAATAAAAATTATTTTATGGCATTTGCTAATTGTTAGATTGATAAACATCATGCATTTTGGTGAATAAGACCAAAAAGCAAAGAAAAATGAAAAAATACAATAAAAATAATTGTCATATCCATTGTTCTTCCTTAAGAGAAACAAATTGGAAAACTTTCTTCTAAAAAAAACAAATCTCAAATGTTCTGCAAAAGAAAATATATTTGTATTTTAGTGGGTGGCTTGTAAAATCTTATTTCAAGCTATGTGCATGAACAGCCTACATAAAATAAACTTGATATTATGGTTGAGTCAAAGATTATAACTTGTGATCTGAATTGATGAGTCTTTACTCATCAATTCAGATCACATAAGTTATAATCAGTATTTGAAACTGGTTCATTTATCTACAAGAATTTCCACTGGCCAAGAAAATTGTTTCAGATAATATTTGAATTGATAGAATTTTCTTCAGTTGCAGTTAAAATACCACAGTGATTATCACTACCATTTATAAACTCCTTAATCCATTTAGTCAGTGGGGAACTTTAAATAGCAGAAACTCTTAAAAACTTAAGAAGCAGGTTTACAGTGATATTATTGTGAATGAAACAATTTTCTGTTGTTAGTAAGATCTTCTTTTATGATACTTGATCACTTAAGTTCAAAATCAAGCCACTTTCAATTTATAAAATGTACATTATAATTATTTGCAAATAAATAACAACTACTGCTCTGTGATTAGCCAAATTCCAAATGAAACTAAAATTTCAAGTTAGACTTACTTGTTCTACTTTTACTTATTTCTAATCAACAGGAGCCAAGTATTAAGAGGTTGATTTTTTTAACCATTTAGAGTATTTTTGGTATGATAAAGCAATAAATGAAAAGATAATTTCTGCATAAAATAATGTTACTTGTGAAATAATACTGTCTTATATAGATATATAATTGTTAGATAGATATATCGATAGATATATAATTGTTAGATAGATATATCGATAGATATATAATTGTTAGATAGATATATCGATAGATATATAATTGTTAGATAGATATATCGATAGATATATAATTGTTAGATAGATATATCGATAGATATATAATTGTTAGATAGATATATCGATAGATATATAATTGTTAGATAGATATATCGATAGATATATAATTGTTAGATAGATATATCGATAGATATATAATTGTTAGATAGATATATCGATAGATATATAATTGTTAGATAGATATATCGATAGATATATAATTGTTAGATAGATATATCGATAGATAGATAATTGTTAGATAGATATATCGATAGATATATAATTGTTAGATAGATATAGATAGATATATAATTGTTAGATAGATATATAGATAGATATATAATTGTTAGATAGATATATCGATAGATAGATAATTGTTAGATAGATATATCGATAGATAGATAATTGTTAGATAGATATATCGATAGATAGATAATTGTTAGATAGATATATATATCTATATATATATATAATTGCATTATTCTACAAATTAAAGGATTTTAACAATCTTACCCTAACAAAAGTTTCACTACAATGTGTTCTTTTTGCTAGCAAATATGTATGCACTCACAAACAGAAATCAGATTATAATATACAAGATATTAGGTATAACAAAGATGTTTTTTTTTTTTTTTGATGTCATTAAAAAATTTGGAAATAAAATTGAAGAAATGTAAGCTGAAACAGGATAGATGAAAAATTGTCTATTTTTTAGAAAAAAAAAACTTGTGATAGTAAAACTGGCTGATTTTAGGATTTCTAATTTCTTTAGTATTCTTATATTGCTTCATTAGAATTATCCAAATATTTCATTAAAGATTATTTTGATCAATATGAATACTTATTTGAGATAGAAAAACTTGGCAAAAACCGTAATGAACATATATAAAGAAATCCATTGCTGTTGAGTTTTATGCTCCAGCTTAAATGTCTCACACACATTTGTGAGTTGCAGTCCACACACACACACACACACACACACACACACAGAGAGTTTAAAATTTGGTATATTTATGGGCGAAGGGTGCTCAGTATTGGAGATAGTGTTTGTAAATATTGACAACACAGGAATCAGCACTGCATAGTAACTTTGTTACACACATGAAGCAATCTTCAGACAATGATCTGAAGATGTTTGGAGGCATGAAACTGACAGTCATCATGCAGTGTTGATTCCTGTATCTACACTATATAATCTTTTCTCTTTCATTTGATTTGTAATTTTATTTTGTATTGTTGTGTGTTTCTTTAAAAAAAAATTTTAAATATGTTTGAAATTCCTATTAGTTGTATATTAAATAGTGTATTTTGATATATAACTATTTAGAATTAATAAATCTTTTCACCCTTGTTGCATGTCAGCTGTGTTGATATTTCTCATAACCAAATCCTGATTTTTTTTTTTCTCTTTTTTATAACTAATGTGTTTATCTGTTTGGTCTATCTGGGTATAGCTCAGGTTCTTCATGACTTGGCACATATCCATGAAAAAAAGCAAAAATCTTCATAAGAATGTAAACAATAAGTCCCAAGAGAGGCAGGTGTTTCCGGACTGGATTTGTTTATTAAAAAAACAAAATAAAACAATTCAGCCATTCAACCTGATATATTTTGTAGAGAAAGGAGGAGGAGATGATAGTTTGGTCTTGAGAATCTTTCTTTCCTTAAGAGGAAAACATCATAGCATCAAATATTGTGCCTTCCTACTTTGGGTTTCTCTTCATTTTGCCTCATTCAGTTGTATTCATCAAATTTGTCCATATTAAAGCAATTGATCTTAAGGGCTTTCACTGAAATTCTCAAAGTACCTTTTTGTTACTATGATTGCTACTATACATTGTACATGTAAATTTATTAAAAAAATGCCTTTCATGATCTTTATATGGAAAAAAGGAAATAATGTAATATAGAATAAGCACAATTTGATATGAATCTATTTAATTAAGTTAAGAACAGATTTAGTTGTACAAAAACTATTTCTGTTTATTGAAAAATTCTCTTTTCAATAAACCTCCTCATGTAAGAATCTTTGTATGTATACAAAAAATTAAACATTTCACTTATTAGTTCTTTTGAAATCTAATTTAATATGTGCAGTGTTGAAAAAGGTCAAAGAATAGCAAGCCCATTGCATAGTCAATATATTTTAAATATTAATTTATTTTTGGACTTAACAGTTATGGAGAAGATGATGTCTTAGGATCACAGGGAAATGGGTATGATTTGCCACCAAGAACATGGTATAGTGGGTCATAGCTGTGAAGGTCTGAGCTGGTGGAATTAAGGCATGTAACTTGTCTGAACATCTGCCATAACAACAGAGTAGTGAGCAATGATTCATCTGTTCAGATAAAGGTTTCATGATGGAGAATAATTCATCACCCACAAGGCTATAGAATTGCTTTTGAACTCTGTCAGTGTTGAACAGTGAAGACTGGGCAACACCAACCCAGTTATGACAACAATGCTCCATTCTTGGTCTGATCTAACTCTTGTAAGTATTTTCTGAAGAGTATCAAGGAACTGACCATTATTCCTGCATCTTTTGTGATGGCTCAAATATATGCATAACATATGAAGTTGGGTGTGAGTTTTAGACCCAGTAGGCTTATGGTCTGATTGGTGATGATGAAATGCTATGAGCTTTGTTTTGGAGGTATTGAATAATACCAGCCAGTCTTTCCCCCATTGAGTTGTGAGAGTTAGTCCAGAGAAATCGGCTGTCAGACACCAGGTATTAGCATTTGATTTTTGTTAATTTCAAGATCCTGTAGAAATTACTACTAATAAAATCTACATTTGGAAAAAAAATCATTTTCTTATTTTGACTGATACTGTACTGGCAGAAAGCAAACAAAAAAGAGACCTTTGTTTCATAATTGCTCAGTCTGTTTAAGAATTTGTTTTTAGTGAGGTTTGCCACTTTCTAATGTTTGAAATATTGTTGATCTCTTGTGAGTTGAGTTTCGGTGAATTATATTGTCTACATCTTAACAACCTCAACAATAAGGAATGCAACTTTGGTATGCTATGATTATGAGTCCAAAATGAAATTTGAGCCAGCAGTTTGGATATTCCTGTTTGAAGAAGTCATTTACATCAGGAACTGATTCTTTTTAGCAATAAGCCTCCTCATCCTTCACTTTCATTTCTTACCATTTGTACTTCTTGTACAGGTATTGTCATTCTGCTAGTATCATTGAAAAGTGGGAAGGGCTTGCTGGTTACATTCTTTTCATTCTGCCCTATCTACCTCTCTATACTTGGTGATGCTTGGAATGGTGTTGGAGAATCAGATTTTCATTCTGGATTCTCCTGATAACAAGGAAAGCTTCAGTGGTTTCAGTTTTCAGTCCAGGAATATTCATCATTTGAGGGTCATTTAACACAAAAATGTTTTAGAAAGAATATCAAACTCTGCTGTCCTTCCTTGTTATTGTGGATAATGTGAAGTTATAAAAATCAGTCTTCCAACTAAAGCAATAAATTTTCATTGCATGATGTTACTGAGAATGAATTTTGTATGCAAATAGATTTAACTTCCTATTGCTTTTAAGAATGAGATAAATTATACTTGAAATAAGTTATAATAATTAAAGCAATGCCTTTCATTAAATGACTTTTATTCATATAGTGCTGGTTGAAATTTTCAATGGATAATGTCTAATTAAGCTGTTTAAATGCCTGTTTAATAACAACATTAAAAATTAATAAATTTATTTATAAGCATTTTTAGCTAAAATAAAAACCATCTGAATCTATAAATTTATGCTAGCAAGAAACAATGTTATTTAAACTTTAGAAAATATTGTATCCCTGACTGCAAAGGCTTATGGCCATATCATGTAGAAACACTTGTTCTTGTATGATCATTGAAGTTAAGCATCATTGAGTCTGGTTAGTACCTAGATGGGTGACTGCTTGGGAATAACAGGTACTGTATGCTTGGATGTGCAGGTGGTGTAATATATAACAGCTTGGAATTTAAAATCAGAGAGATGAATTCTGTTTTAAAAATCTAAATATATTTTCTGGCTTTAAATAACCTGCAAAATGTTGGTAAGCCATAAAAAACAAATCAATCAAATAAAACCCAGACTCCAAAAAATCATTAAAGACATTTTCTATAAGTTCTATTGACTATTTTTGTTTTTTTTAAACAGTATTTATTGAATGCTTTAATAAATATTAACCAATGTTGTCTACTGGGTTAAATAAGTTTTAGATCTGCAGTGTTTGTGGAATGATACTAAGAATTTTTAAGGAGAGAAATGAGTTTGGTTAATGCTGTCTGCATTTTCAGTGCACCAGTTTCCATTCCAGGCAAGTAAGAATGTACTTCTCTGTGGGAGAAATTGAAACCTACTAGGTTACACATACTGCACAGTGACAATAATGCTTGATTTGAAAAAGTGCTTTATAGAATTATGGTCTTGCCATTGTGCAGATCGTTTTCAGTTGTCATATAACATTTATTTTTTATCATAATCTACAATTAACTTCTCCAGCTATGGGTTAAAAAAGCAAGCAGACCATACTCATTTACATTGAGTTGACAACAAGTATAGGAGAAAGAATACTGAATTCAAAAATAGCTTGAAGAGTCTGATGGAGCCTATCTTGCACTAAACACACCACTGCTGCTGTGACTGCAAGTTTATGTGGTGTCCCTATGACTCTAATGGGCTAGGTGACATGATATATTGTGGCAATTCACTTAAAAACAACTGTTTTCTGATTTTCTGCAAATTTATAAAGAATTTGTCATATGTTTTCTCTTTTCTAATCTACTTTAGATGCCTTTAAATTGTTGAGAATGAAATAGCCAATTAAACATCTTTCAAAAAATGGGTCTCTTCCACTAGCTTCTTGAACAGATTATCTACCAAACCCAGAAAGCTATTTCTTTCTCTCATCACCCACAATCCTCTTTGTCTTTGAGGCACTCACTACACTGCTATGGTGAAACTTTAGAAACAAATGATATACTGTATGTTCAGAAATGATTAGGCATTGTGTCCAGGTTAAGACTTCTTTTAATTTTTGAATTCATGCATAGTTATTAAACCATCAAATTATAAGGGATACTTTGAAAGAAATGTTTCCAATTTATTTCTGTGGGAACTACAACAGATACAGGAAGCACGATAACACTTCTGGACAGAGAAAGTTTTTAGCTATAAAACACTGTTTCCATATAGTCAATACTATTGGCAATGCATTTTGCTATCTCTAAGCATTTCAGCTGAGCAGAGCAACTCAGAATGTTGCTTGTCATACACATAACTGTTATTATTGCAGAAATACATTACACACTGTTTAACTACTGTATTCACATTTCCTGTTGTATCTCCATGAATATCAATGAATGCAATTTTGCTGCATGGCTGAATTCATTGACACTCCTCTGCTTTGTCTACACTTTCATGTCAGATGCCATTTTGCCAGATTGCTACCTGTATCAAGGCAAAATGATAGATGGGTTATTGGCAGCAATTTTCTGTCTATGATGTCATGAGCTAGCATAATAAAATTAGAGGTATTACTTTTTGAGTGAAAAAAATATCAACCTGTAGATGGTTAGTGAAAAGCTTAAGGCATATATCCAGATAAATTATATAATACTCTGTGCATATTATTACTAAATATTCTCATAAAAACAGCTATTATTTTCTCAGTCTGTCTGTGACCAAGTTAAATATTCTGTAGCTGAAAAAAATTAAAACTTATTTGAAAAGTATTTTATATACATGAAAATGTAGAAGTGGATGTGTAGTTTTAGGTTTCAGTTTTGCCATTTCTTTGAAGACATTTCTCTTTTGAAATTATCTAACATTTCAAAAAGGAACACTGATTGAATTCTAAAGTTCAATTTTTAATAAATTCCTAGAATTTCAATTTGATAAATGTAGTTATTATTGATATAGAACAAAGTGATTTGTCACAAATTGATTGAAGTTTTCACAATATTAATTTTCTGAAAACCATTGTTTTTTTTTGTTTTTTTAATATCTATTATTTATGGTGTGAGGAAAATTTTTTTCAATAATTGTCTTTCTTTACACTTCCAGTTTTATCAAATTGAAAATGTAAGGAAACTTTATTTTTATCATGTTCTAAATGCTTAGGAATCTCTGCCTTTGCATTTCTGGTGGTATATTTCTGGATAATTTGCCCTTCTTGTCTTTCTTGTCTTGGGATTTGTATCAGCTGGCAAATGTTTAGGAAGTATGAATGACATATAAAAGACATCAGTTGGCAGAATCTTCCAGACTCTTAATTTCTCCCCACACAGATCCTTTGCCCTCTTGTTTAAGGTTATGAGCATTTATCTATATGAATCCTGCCAGGAATCTATAATATTTGCCCTGACTGAATGACACAGATAATGCTGTAAAAGGTCAAGTTCAGGCAAGGGAGAAAGCTATAGCTTGTGTTTTTGCCTCTGACTGATAAAAACTGTGCCTGTTGTATGCAGCAGACTGGCTAATTATGTTTCTTCTGGGTGTCCTTTTCATGATGTTTCATCATTCACTTCTAAATTTACATCAATCTGAAAAATTGGATGATCTCTACCATACAAGACTGATTCTGTGCTGTACTTGGAAACTGGAAAGGTTTTATTTGCACCATCTTCAGCACATAGTTATCCCTGACAGCACTTTATCTACTAAAACATATGAGAGATTTTTTTAAAGTTCTGAAATATCTATTAGGGAAATTAAATAGGTTTAAAGATAATGGAGTTTATTTTGATTAAAAAAAAACAACTCTTATCAAAATGTAGGAAATATATATTTTGAAAGGAATAGAAAACTATAATCTGGGGGAATTACATAAGAATATTATAACCACAGTTATATTTAATAAAAGCAAAAAACAAATGAGTGAAATCAGTGTTTATTGGTGTAGCAATAACAAAGATAGGCTGAGGGAAACACAAGCATTCACATAAAGTTTCTACTTTTTTCTAAAGTTGAAATAGTTTGTTTTAATTTTAGGTATTCAATTTATAAATATTTGAAAACATTTTCCATTTTCAAGGTTACTTCTGAAGACCTTAGACAATTTACAAGGAAAAAAATTAGAATAATGATAATGGTCAAATTTAAGAAAACTGCAGATGTTTGAGCTAAGACTCCATTTCAAAATTATGTCTACCTTAACTTTGAAATTATTTTAATAATATTTCTTTGGCATATGTTCATTAGAATACAATTAGAATTTTTTAAAGTAGTATTTAAAACATAATTACAATATGGCTTTCAATTTAATTCTTCAGTTTAACTTCAATTTTACTGGTGCAAAAGCAAAATATTTCTGCTATTGCATGCATTATACTCTTAAATAACAGTATCAATTTTGAGTTGATACAAAGAGAAAAAAAGACATTCTTACTGTGCTCATTTGCAAAATACTTCTCAGTACCTGATACATGGCTTGTATAGAATAAACAATAAAATATGGCAGACTGACATTCATCACATTTTGATGTTTTAATCATCCTGTTTTGTTTTGATTTATTTCTGTAGTTTGATGGTTTAAACATTAATTCACTGTACTCTAAATATATTTAACAGCACAACTGAAGCTGAAGTGTTCCTTAATTGCTAGTTATGTTAATTAGAATTGAAATCTGAAAAATTTTCTTCATTGAAACCAATCCAAGAGATTTATTTCAGATTAAGTCTAATTTGGTGGGAGGTGGGCATGTGATTTGTCAACTACAGAAGATATTTATGTAGATGGAAAATGTTTGTTTGTTATATTTGTTTACATATTTCTATATATTTATACAAAATTACATATAAGTAATTTATTTTGTTTTTGTAACTGCTTGTTCTGTCAAATGTTTTGGTTAGGATACACTTAAAAAAGAACAGACCTCTGCTTGTGGTCTTGACATACCAGATAGATTATTTGGAGTCAGTTATCTGATGAAGCCACAAAAAAGATTTATCTTCCTATGATTCACCACTAATTTTTTTTTTTTTTTTTTTTTTTTTTTGAATCATAAAATGGAATGTTTGATTGCATGCACAAAACCAGTCTATAATTTATATTTGCTGCTTTATTTCTAGGAAATTTATTAATTAAAATTATACTAAGTTCTTGAATATAATTTACTAGTATTCATAAAAAAATAAATGTTCTATTCATTAAAAATTTCTTTCTGAATTGAGATTATTGCATATAGTTGTTGGATTTAATAACTTCCCAATTTTTGTTCCTTTTTGTTTTTTCAGTTCCTACTTAATGTAAGATTCTTTTTCCCCTTGTAAAATAAAGATGAAAAAGTTATTTGGTGATAATACCTGCCAAATGTGACTGAAACAGTATTTTTCTATTAACTTGAAACTCAAGTCAGTCAAACTCTTTTCACAATCAATAATTATTGTAAAAAGTAACTAGGAAACTAACATTTTAAATATGCTTATCATAAACAAATCCTAATTTTCAAATTTATAAAAATTTGAAAAATGACATTGATTTCAAGACAACTTCAAGATTTGAATTAAAATGATTAACAATATATCATTAGAAGTTGAAAATAATTATTTTTATAAATTGCAAAATTGATTGTTAGAGTACAGAAAATTGCTTCTTTTTTTTGGTTGACTTGTATATCACATATTTATTTAATCTTTTACTTAAAGTCTAATGAATGTGTGTTGTGTAATGGATAGAGGCTTGGAATGAGAAAGCTGAGTTTGAATTCCATTTGAGTTCATTACATTCACTTGCACACAATTACCCTAGGGAAATATATGAATCCATCTCTTCTGCCTCCAGCTGAGTTGAATAACAGGAAAGACTGGGTCCTATAGCCTTCGTTGGCAACCAGTCTACTGCAGAAAGAAATGGCAACCTACTGTGAGGAAAATCTGTCTAGTCTATCATAAATCAAAAGATATATGATTGCCAAAACCTGTATGACTGACTG